TCGGGCTTTGCATTGAGCTACAGCCACAGCTCTTCTTTATTTTATTCTGGTTTTGTTGTTTGTTTTTGTCTATGTTCACAGGATTTATTGTTCTAAGATTTTTTTTTTCTCTCTCTCTCTCTCCTGTTTTAGACAGGGTTTTGTTTTGCACTTCAGGCTGGCCTTGAACTAAAATTTGTAGTCCATATTGGCCTCAAATTTGGAGCAATCTCCCTGCCTCAGCCTCACCATGACTGGCCCTAGTCTGTCTTTAATATTTTGAGGCAGGGTCTCACTGAGTCTCTAAGTTGCTGAGGTGGGACTCAGATTTGTGATCCTCCTGCCTCAGTCGCACAGAATGCTGGGATTACCAGTGTGTGCCACTATGAGGGCTATACAGTGGTCCCTCACTTCTTGCAGAGGTTACATTTATCACAGGTGATAAATGAAAATCAGTAAAGTAGTGATGAGATATAGATAGATAAATAGATAGATAGATAGATAGATAGATAGATTCTAAGGCTTTATAAACCTTTTCCCACATTCTTAGAAACCCTTCCCACACTTTTAAAAACACTTCTAATGTTCTTAACCATTTTCTAAACTCATAAACCTACATAATTTTTACAACATACGTATACTGTGTTGTACTGCAAAATCCCATGATATAGCAAAAAATCCACAATAAATAATTTAGATTAATATTTTTTTGAAAGCCCATGGAACAGCAAGTCTGCAAAAGTTGAACTGTGAAATAGTGAGGGACTACTATAAACTGCTTTTAATCTTTTTTTTGGGGGGTATCTTTTGGAGACTGGTTCTTGCAGTATAGCTCAGACTGGCCTTGAAATTACTTGTAGCTCAGGATGGTCTCTATTTTTTAAAAATTTATTTATTTGATACAGTGTCTGGATATGCAGTTCAGATTCCCTGTAGTGATCCTCCTGTCTCAGCCTCCTCAGTACTGGGATTACAGGTGTGTACCACCGTGCCATTTCTGGGCTTGGCATGGCACATTCAGGGTTCCGGGGCTGACCTGGTACACAGTACCAGGGATTGAATTTGGAACCTTGCACTTGCCAGGTAGGTGCTTAGACAGCTGAGCTATCTTCCCAGCCCCAGGCTGGTGTCCTCCTGCCTCAGCCTCCTGAATGCTGAGATTACAGGCATGTGCCACCACGCCCAGCTTAGTTTTATTTTATCAAAGGTGGGATATATGATTGAATATGCTCTTTTTGTATAAGCAGTGATTCACATCATCATCTGGAGTCACAAAAAAAATCATGAAAACTAGAAACACTGCCAAATGTCAGTTGTCTACATGACACACGCTTCAGGGACTTTGCTGCAGGTGAACCTCTTTGTGATATGCTGCCATTCTAAAAAAAATCAGTGGCATCAATATATATAGCTGTAGGGGTGCAGGAAAAGCTGTATTGATAGGGCTAAAAGCAGAGGCAGAGGTGTGCTGCTCAGCCAACGTGAAACCCAGGACATGCATGATACCTACTAGCCCAGGAAAGGGGGAAAGGGCCCCATAACGAGCCATGAAGCTCAGAACAAGGTATTTTTCAAGTTGAGAATGTATGCATTTTCTAAGATTTTCTCTCTAGCTTGGAGGATTGTCTTACAAACCTTCTGGAGTACTGCTGCCCTGGAAAGTCTCATGGTGTTAGAGTGCTGAGCTATCTCCCCAGCCCTTAGGATTTGTTTTTACATGGCCATCTTCCTCCGCATTCTGAGCTCAAAGCTCTTGGCAAATGTTCCCTACGGGTGGCACGCCGGCTGATCACACATAATTAGGATCATGGAATCAGAATATAATCTGGAGCTAGAAGGGGACTGGGAAGACAGCAAGTCACTTGTTAAAGTCAAACTAAAAACAAACCAGGGCATATCCAGAGGATACGGACAACGAAAAGGGGTTGAACTATTGATCTGTAGAACAACATGATGAGTCATAAAAGAATTATGTTCAGTGAAAGAAGCTGGACCAAAAAGCCATTACATGCTGTATGTTTTCATTTATAGAAAAAGCCCAGAGTATAAAAGTGGGTGACAGAGCAGTGGTTGCCCATGGAGTCACAGTTGGGATGGGGATGTGGAGGGGGAGAGAAGGGAAGGCCAGGTTCAGAGGCCCGAGGAAGTGTTTGGGCGTGGTGGCTAATCCATCTTGGTGGTTGGCAGTATGCTCACAGGTACAAACAGACGTCAGAACTAATCCAGTAGGACATTTTAGATATGTATAGTTTATTACGTGTCAATTATGCCTCAATAAAATCTAAAGGAAATAGAGACAGGCAATTTACTCATGGAATAAATAACTCCTGCCTGTGTGTACTAGGTTCACATGCTGTATTCTGGGGGTTCGGAGAGAAAGGGAAGATGCAGTCCCCGCCTTGAGGGAGCTCGCAGCTGGGAGGGAGGGAGGGAGATTGCTAGATGCCTGCCATCCAGGATGCTGCATGGTAAGAGAAAGGATAGCACAGAGACAGGAGGAGGCCAGAGCGTGGGTGTCAGTGGTGCCTCTGCTGGGGAGGCCAGGGAGGGCCTTGCAAAAGAGAGGAACAGAAATAAGGCTCAGAATGGGGCACATGGAGGAGCAGCCCCCAGAGAGAACAGCATGGACTGAGTTACGGATGTGCACCAACCACTCGTGGTTTGCCTCTACTAGAGCAAAGGTCACGTGGGACAGCAGGAAGCCAAGGGCCGAGGCAGAGTTGGGCAGAGCCAGATCTGCCACCTTTTGTTGCATTCAGAGTCCTGGGGTGTGTTTGTGTCCAGGGTCAAATGAACAGTGTCTCCAAATGTAGTCATTGTCACTGGGAACTCTTGGTACAGTGGACCTGGGCCCTGTGTGAGGCTATGACACCCAGAGTGGATCTGTTGTACCTGGGAGGGCCTGTGTTTCCTCAGGGCTGTTTCAGGACCCAGATGAGGAGAGAGTTGGTTTAGGTCTGGGCAGCAGCTGGGAAACATCTGCTCCTTTTGGCTGCACCTGGGACTTGGGGTATCTGCTACATTTGAATATTGGAGGCAGCCAATAGTATTCAGCTGCTCTCGAGGCAGGTAAAGACTTTTGCCCTTTTCTGACGGGGGCCATCAATCCTCAAAGTCTTGAACTTCTGATGTCCTGGTTTGAGCTCTTGCCCTTTAATAATCATTTGCTAGCCATTCACCCCCGAATTTCATTTCTTTTCTTTTCTTTTCTTTTCTTTTCTTTTCTTTTCTTTTCTTTTCTTTCCCTTTCCCTTTCCCTTTCCCTTTCCCTTTCCCTTTCCCTTTCCCTTTCCTTTTCTTTCATACCAGGAATCAAACTCAGGGCCTTGTGCTTGCCAGCCAGGCACTGTGCCACTGAGCTATATCCCTAGCTCCAGATTTCTTAGGAATCCTTGAGTTGTTTTTGGAATAGTTTTCAGAGCAGACTAGGATGTTACATTCAGGATACAATTGCCATTCCACATTAAAAATGCAGGCAACAGTGCAGAACACAGCTAGCTCATGTCAGCCAGACATCCTGGTGTAACCGGAGCAGGGAAACATGGACGAGGCTTGCACTAGGGAAGTAGGTGCCGGATTGCACAGGAGGCTTGGGCTCCTGTGAGCCCTGCTCCCTGCCGCTCTCCAGCTGGAAGAAAAAAGCTCCTATGGAGCTGGAGGTAAAAGTGGGATTTCTGTCTGGTGCACATTTCTGTGATCTTGGGATCAAGTTGCTTACATTTCAGAGAGGGAGCTCCCCTCATTCCACTTAGGAGGATAACAACTATCATGGCAGTGAGGACTTCCCAGAAGCCAAGAGCAATGACATGTGGCTGTCAGAGTTTCTTTTGCTGCTGGGGATTGCCTGCTGTCTTCAGTAGGACGGGGCCAGTGGGTTAAGCAGAAGTTCTCATCCTGGCTTAAGAGATAGCTCAGTAGTCTAAGCATCTGCCTGGCAAGCTCAAGGACTGGAGTTCAGTCCCTAGTACTGCATGCTGTGCTGCCTGGGTGCACTGTGCCAGCCCCCAAAACCGGGTGTGATGGTGCACGCTTGTAATTCTAATAATGCTGGGGAGGCTGAGACAGGACACAAGTCTGAACTGCATAGTGAGACATATGCAGACAAACAAACAAATATTAAGAATAAAGAAAAAAAGTGCTTATCCTGCTTTCCCATGCCCCAGTTGGTGTGAGCATGCGGTGGTCAGCACAGATGGCTGCATTCAAGTGGGGCCAGAAAGGCCAATGTGGATTAATTATCTCAGGTGGATTCATTCTATCAGGCAGTGTTGGGAGGGAGGAAGAATTAATGACACAGCAGAATTTGCTGGGGTTTCTTTCCTCTCATTTTCTCACCTGAGCTAGTGAAAATAGTCCAAGTGTGGGCTGGCTTTGAGCTCTGTAGCTCTCTGTTCTCCTCCCCCCATGCCATCTGCCAGCTAGACTGGTAGCTGGCTTAGTGCTCCCTCCTGCAGCCCTGGAAGGTCATGCTCGCTGTGACTGGGGTTGGTTTCCCATATGAGTAGGCCAAATGGATATCTAACTATCGATTTGTTTTCTTGCATTTCAGTCGTTCCAAGGAAGTCAAGGACGAGCATATCTCTTTAATTCAGTGTGAGTGTCTCCAAATTGGAGTATCTGTTGTTTTGTACAAATTTAGAGGGATGGGGAAAGCAGCTATCAGTCATTCCACAATGAACTCCACCTCCTCTGCCATAAGAATAGTTTGTTACCTTTGAGGATTTTTTTGGGGGGAGGGGGAAATAATGGCTAAAAGTAATGTATTCACTACACTGTCCTCAGTCGTCAGTGGTCCCACAGTGAAGGGCCTTCTGAGAAATTCCCATAATAAAATCAGAGTTTTGTCACTGGGCAAGAGAGTATAGGGGCAAAAGAGCTTCCCCAAAACTACTGAAGAACCTAAGGATGGAGAGAGGTGTGGCAAGGGCAGGGCCTCTGTCCCCTCTTGCAGTCCCATGATGTGTGTCACCCGTATGGGCATCACTGGGCGCGTGATTGTTAACTACTTCCCAAGAAAGAAAGGCAGAGCTCACATGAGCCTGAGGAGCTGTAAAAAGGTGCACCCAGCCCGCTTCACCTGGAAACAGGAAGTGTGAAGGAGTATGGCGTGTGTAATATCCAGGTTGACCCATCCCTGGGATCACAAGAGTGCTGTCACGTCTGCCATGTTTGCATGCACTCTGTCTTTGGTGAGCTTTGAGGGTGGTGCTCTTCTTCACTGTGCGCTGCACAGGGTTGCTGTCATTTTTGTCCCCTTATGTCACAAGGTGAAGAGGATTAGAAAAAGCCCTGAGCAAAGCCTCAGTGAGGACTATTGTAACAGGCCGATTGAATTCAGCCTTGTAGACCAGAATTCATTCCAACTGAGATGTTTCCATGTGGTTACCTTTTTGGAGATATCACTGATTTCAGTTTTCAAGCAGATTCTGCTCAGTGTTGGTTTCCCTTGGGGCAGCCTTCCTGTTTTAGCTGACGGCTCAGTTTGAGCAGCTAATGTAACTGAGTACCCTCTTTCCGTCTCTTTTGGCGTAGAGTTAATGTGGGCTGTGGACCTGCAGAAGAGCGAGTATTGCTAACGGGACTACATGCGGTTGCAGACATTTACTGCGAAAACTGCAAAACCACACTGGGATGGAAATATGTAAGTACTGAAGAGTCTGGTGGGAGAACGCTGTAGAGGGAAGAGTGAAAGCCTTTATGCTCGAAGACTTGCTGCTGCTGGCTTCTCATGGCCTTATTGGGTTGTCTTTGACAAGAAAAGGAAATCGTCCCTGCCCACTGCCCGCCCCCCACTCCTTTAGGCTGCTCCCTACATGCAAGCACACACACACAGACACACACCACCTGGACTTGAGAGTAAGAGCGTAGAACAAGTCCTAAAGCCTTAGTGTGTGCTAGACACACACGATCGTATTCGACCCTCGCAGCATCCCTAGAGATTAGGTGGTATTTTCATCCCTGTGTCTGGGTGAGGACACTGAGATGAAAGAACATTAATAGTATGCCTAAGGTTACCTTGCTGTCAGAAAGCCAAAGCAGGACAGGACTCTGGATACCAGTCCGTCACGCTCCAATAAATGTTCCTAGAAATCTACCCGGATGCTAGGCCATGTGCTGGGCATCAGCAGATGTTATCTTAAAGTGCTCTGGGTTCTATTGTTGTAACTGGACTCTCCCAAATGGATCATCTCTTTTATTGTTATGTTAAGGTCCCCTTGGGATCTGGGAAGAGTGAACAATCCTTTGCCACAGTGAGAAAAGGGAAAGGCAGGGATCTGCTACTGGCTGGTGTGGTGTTGCACATCTATGGTCCCAGCTTAGGGAGTTTGAGGCAGGAAGATCACTGAGAACTGGAGGCAGGCTGGGTTGCATAGTGAATTCAAGACTAACATGAACTACATCGTAAAACCCTGCCTCAAAAACCCAAAAGAAAAGGCTGGGCTGGGCATGGTGGTGCATGACTGTATTCCTAGCACTCTGGGAGGCTGAGGCAAGAGGATCATTGCGAGTTCAAGACGCGCGTAGGCTACAAAGTAAGCCTAAGGCAAGCCTGAGCCACGTAACTAGATACATAAACAAATAAAAGGCTGGACACAGTGGTGCATGCCTGCTGGTGCGTATAATCTGAGGCTGAGGCTAGAGGATTGCTGTGAGATTGAGCTCAGCCTGGGCTACACAGTGAATTCAAGGTCACCCTGAGCAGCCTAGGGAGACCCTGTCTCACAAAGACAAAACAAAGCACCACACTGGGGACTGAGCAGTCTAACGTCTGTTGGGTCTCCACCACACATCCATAGACACAGCTTCCTCAGTCCTTCTGACTAGAGGTTGATTTTCTATTTATTTACTTTTTAAAAAAAATTTATTGAAAATAGAAATTCAATCTTTAAATGCTGTAGAGCCTTGACCCATCGGTACTGTCCAGAAGCCATGTAGAAGTGTATGGAGTACATGTGTGGGACTTTTGCTCACAGGGAAGTCACAAGCTTTGTGCCCCTTGTTACAGTGACCCTAAATTCCTGTTGGGTGTGTTGTAAACAGAGAAGCCATTCTTCAGGCCACCTGCTCTGAGCACAACCACTGTTTATTTACTTTTTAAAAAATATTATTTATTTATGTATTTATTTGGTACAGGGTCTTGTGCAGCTCAGACTTGTAGTGATCCTCCTCAGGATGGGATTATGATGTCTCAGCCTCCTCAGGGCTGGGATTATGGATGTGCCCACTATGCCTGGTTTGGGGGCCAACACAGTGCACCTGGGGTTCTGGGGCCAGCAGAGCATGCCATACCAGGGATTAATCCCGGGTAATTGTGCTTGCCAGGCAGGTGCTGAGGCCACTGAAATATCTCCCCAGCCCTTGTTTACTTTTTTGAGACAAGGTCTCAAACTCAAGAAATCTTCCTGTCTCAGCCTCTCAAGTACTGGGATAACATGGTTATCCCACCACGCTCAGCCTGACTAGAGGTTTAGTGCCATCTATGCAGCTAGTGTCAGGAAGAAATTTGGGCTTCATCACTTGGCTGCCAGTCTTTGGGTTCCTGCTTACAGTTAGTTTCTCATTACTTTAGTTTATTGAGTTTTAAGTAGGATAGTACCTATAAAATACTTAGTTCATCACTTGGCATAGGGCATAATAAGCATAGATAGTATTGTTGTCATTGTCAGAACTTTTGCAGCCTGCATATTTCCATCCATGCATGGTATAGTACTTTTTTTTTTTTTTTTTTTTAAATGCCGCCATTGTGAGGATATTGAAAGCCCTGTGTTTCTTTCTCCAGGAGGGCAATTTATTTTATATAAAGTGTCTCACATTTCCCATGGTATCTATGACCTGCCCTAGGCTTAGAAAGGCACCCCAGGGAGCAGTTAAAACTGTTGTGGGTGATAAAGGTGTGTCAGTATAGGTTCTGAGGCTGTCACTAAGGGGTCACACTTGGGTGAGAGTCCAAAAGTGCTGGTCTTGTAGGGAGTATACCAGAAATCTCAGTTTCTGTTCAGTCTTGTGTGGGTCCAAGATGGCTCAGGAAAGAGAAAGCTTTTGTGGGACCTATAAAATAATATGGGCAATAGCTACCAGGCACAAAAGTAGGATTGCATGTAAATAAAGTTTGAAAATGTACAAGTCATTAAAAGAAACGAAAACTGCCACAGACAGAAGTTGCTTGGCCGTGCTGCCTCAGTTCCATTTCTCACGTGTCTGTGGGAATGTGGAGCATTAGAAAGGAAAAATCTCGAGGACTGGTGTTTGCATGGAAGATGTTGTCACCACTGTCACCAATTGGCTTGGTTGTTCCCATGGGAGAAACCGAGTCTGGGCACCTGTCCTCTGTAGTTATGGGCTTCCCTGGCTGACGGCTGCTGGGAGTTCAGTTCTGGTTTTAATTTTCAAGAAGTCTTCCACTCCTTCCTGTGGTTCCCAGGCTGGTGGCTGCCTTCTTCATCGAAGATATATTGGGTTACAGTAATGAAAAATGAACCAAAGTTGCTTGGTTTTGCTGCTTGCTTGTTGTTCAAGTACAATGATTCACTCATTTGATAAAGTTTTATTGAAAATCTTGGGACTGGATACAAAAGTTAATGAGTGCTTGTGTAGTTTGCACATGGCTCCTGGATTCAATGCCTGGTACCATAAAAGGGTAGGGAAGGAATGGGGTCTGGTCTCTGCTCTGAAGGCATTGATAGTTATGATGCCAAGGAGAAAAAAAGGCACCAGACGAGAGACACATGCATCCAGCTCCCAAACTTGTTTGAAATGCCCCAGATAGTTTCTGCTCCGTGTGCCAGATCCACATCATTCTCTCATTATGTCTTCCGACCAGAATAATCCTGTGAAGTAGATAAAATGTTTTGAACCTCAGAATAATCTTTCAATATCCCAGTGTTGTCATTAAATGGAAAATCAGGTGGTTAAATGAAGCAGCAGAAATGAGATCTGCAGGGAGCTTCTGTAGAGCCCAGGTCTGGTGCACTTCCCACTGGGGACCAGTGCTAGTGTTTTACAAGTCCCAGTGTGTGGCTTGGAGCAGTTGGATTTTTCTTTCTCTTTCTCTCTTAATCTTGCTTTGTCATCCCCTTTGCCCTGAACACATTATTATGCAATACCAGGTCTCATTCCCAAACCACATTTCTGTGTTGTGCTTGCATGCACGTGCGCATGTGTGCGTGCACGCACACATACACATGCTTGGAGCCGGGGAATAATGAAGTGTCAGGGAAATTGCTGCTGAGCCCACAGGTTGTGTGTGTGTGTGTGTGTGTGTGTGTGTGTGTGGTCATCAGTATATTCTCTGTCCTTTCTATCTTGCTCTCTCCTTTCTCCCTACTTCCCTTTCTTTCCCTCACTCCTTCTTTCCCCTCCCCTTGCTTCTCTCTTCTCCACTTTGTGAAGTAGGCCCTTTCTCCACAAAAGATCCAAGGCTGAGCCCTTGTCCAGAACTCAGGCATTCTGGGTCTCTAAAGCAAAAGGGGCAGCTCCTACAGAGGACCCCAGAACCTACCAACTGTGGGGTTCAGTTCCTTATTTGTTTGGGGACTCAGTGGGCAGAGCTAATGCCCAGCGTTTCTGTACTTTGTGTTTGGCCACGTAATGACCCCAGGGATCATTGTTCTCAGATAACATAGCAGAATGTTCTTAGTATCTATTGCTGCAAACAAAATAGCTCTGCTTCTGTGCTGGACTGCTTTCCCTGTAGTTATTAAATTAAAGCCTACAGCGCTTTCTGTTGAGACAGTAACCCACCAGCTATTTGGATTGAGTTTTACCTCTGCAGGCCTGGGAATTGAAGGCTACCGGGTTTTCCAGTCTAGGTTTATACAGCTTTTGTCCCCAGATTTAAAAGGCAGTGAGGGGAGAGGATAAAGAGGGAAGAAGAATAATTAAAGAAAAAAAAATACTTGACCCATCTGACATAGAAACAGCAAGAATAAGGAAATAAAATAGGGACCTGGTTGGCCTCATAATTCTTGGTTCCTCTTGCTATTTTTTCTCTAAGCCTAACAAGTACAGCTTAAAATTATAACCAGATTGTCCTATGTTCCTGGAAACTAGCAAGAAGGACAAGGAACTTTTGAGGATAGATCCACAAGGCTGATAGCCAGTTAGCATCAGAAATCAAGACTCCCTAAGATTGTCTGTTCCTAAATGTATACTCATTCATTCAGCAGTGATTTGTTGAAGATGTGGTATGTGCCTAGCAGGGTTCTAGGGATAGGACAATGAATAAAGCTAAAATCTCTGCTTTCTATGGAGTTTGTAAAAATAAACAAACAAACCTACCTTGCTTCTTATCTTATTTGGTACTGGGGATTGAACTCAGGACCTGCCCTTGCCAGGAAGGCACTTCTACTGCTGAGCTATCTTCCCAGCAAAAAATACGACAAATATTTAATTTTTTTTTTTTTTAAATTAGAAGTTGGATGTGATGACTCATACCTGTAATCCAGCACTTGGGAGGCTCAGGCAGAAGGACTGCTGTGAGTTCAAGGCCAGCCTGGGCTACATAGTCCAAGGGCAACCTGAACTACATAGTATGACCCTGTTGCAAAAATAAATAAAAGTAAAAGTTATAATGAAAAATATACTGCTGCTAATTCCCATCAGAATACGCCTAATGCTTTTAACACACTTATCGCCTCCTTCTTCCCACTTTCTGAAGCAGTTCTAGGAGTCTTTTTTCATGAATGAATGTCTCTAGTTGGGCTGTTAAGGCTGCTTTGATGTCCTGAATCCTTTCAAAATATTAAGCTTTTAGGGCTGGGGAGATAGCTCAGAGGAATAAGTCCTTGCCTGGTAAGCGCAAGATCCTGAGTTCAATCCCTGGTACTGCAAAAAAAAAAAAAAAAAAAAAAAGCTTTCATGATCATTTTGACTTTGGGGAAGAGCTAGAAGTTGCACCATACAGGTCTGGTGGACACTGGTGCACTGTAAAATCTTATTATCCTGCCTTTCCATTGGATAGCACTGAGCAGTAGCATTCACTGAATTTTGTACCACATGAAGACACCTATGAAAGGATTTCTAGAACTGCTTCAGAAAGTAGTAAGAACAGTGGGATCAGTGTGGTTGAAGCAAAGGGGAGTGCTCTGGGTGGGGGGTTAATGGCAATGTGTTTTTTACTGTGGCATCTTAAAAAATTTAAACATCCACTGTGTATTTTGATCATTCCTTATACGTTATAGTCACAGAAGACAGTAAAATAGTAACACAAATTGTATGTTGGACAGTAGTCAGTACTATGGATAAAAATAAAGCTGAGGAGGAGAAGGAAAAGAAGTTCTGAGGTAAAAGTTGCACTTTTAAGCACAGAGGTTGGGAAAGACCTTTCTGGAATGACATTTGAGCAGAGATCCCAAGGCAGTTCTTCTGTAGTACCAGTAATGTGCGGGTGTCACCCTGTCCTGCAGGAATTCTCTTGGTGAGTCTGGGTGATGCTCGGGTCAGACCTCCCCATCCTGATGCCTGCCATGTGTGACACCTCTGTTTCTGTGGCACAAAAGTCACCTGTTTGCCTCTGGTCACAGTCTTTTTTCTTTTTCTAGGAACATGCTTTTGAAAGCAGCCAGAAATATAAAGAAGGCAAGTACATCATTGAACTAGCACACATGATCAAGGACAATGGCTGGGACTGAGTGGACAGTAGCCACCCAACCCAGTGTCCACATGAACGCCATCCAACAGAACATCCTACCCTGCGTGAGAGAGTAACTGAACACTTGGTTCCATCCACTTGGGGGCCTTGCCATCTGGGGCGTCCTCCCACTCTGACACCATCTTTCTGGTGACTGGCCTCTAAATTGCTGTCTCTCTGTCTCTTTGCTTTGTATCTGTTTGTGAGTTGATCCTGGCTTCTCTCTCTGTTCTAGTGTTTGCTGAAAACAAAACAACTTAAGGAACAGATCCTTGACCGCACGGCAGCAGCCTGCCTTGCAACGGGTCCCAGGGCCCTGCAAGAGCTGCCTGATGGCCTCTTGTCAGGAGAGCAGTGGCACGTGGGTGTGAGGAAGAGGGAAAAGGGGAACCCTGAGGTCCTGGGTGGGCAGGGGGTGGGAGGGTAGAGGAAGGGACAGAACTGTACCACTCCTGGAACCCTGGTAACTTAGGCTTGAAATATTCGACTTGTCTAAATGGACAAAGAGAAAAAAAATACCTCATGACTGAATTCTCTCTGATCAGAAGCCTCTCTTCCTGACACCGCACGTGCCAGGGTAGCAGATGAGCACAGAGGGGCTCTCATTCCAGCTGACAGGACAAAGGGCCTGCTTCTCTCCAGCTGAGCTGGGGAAAGTCCGGGTAGCAGGGAGTGAGGTGGGCGAAGCCCAGATGGGTTCTGATGACTCTGCCTCATGCAGCCTCCAGGGAAGCATTGTCTTTGCCTGCTTAGCCCCTGACGGCGAGGGAAGAGGGGACTGCCATTTGCAGTGAGTGTAAGATGGAACCCATCCCAAAGGCTTCAACCATCAACCATGTAAAATCAGAAATGGAGGAGAGTAGGGCGTAAGGGGGGGTTGCCGCGTGGAGCTCCTGAAGAAGGGCTCAGCTACTGAGCCGCAAAACAAAACACAGAGGCCAGTTAGTGATTCTGACTGCCTTTCTTTTCCTGACTCTCAATAAGAGTAATATGATGGGGGGAGGGCTCATCAGATCAGTGCATATTTCCTCTTTGCTTAGCAGTGGGATCAGCAGTCCTTTGTTCATAGTGTTTCAGCTGTTTTTATCCAGTTCGATCATTGTAGACCATGGAAAACACAGACATAGGCTTTAAGCCTGGTGATAACCTGGTTGGTGGGTTCCTCGTGTCCTAGCTGGGTTTTTATTTTATTTTTTTATTTGATCTGAATGTCTTATATGGCAGAGATCTGTTATGCGGTCCAGCAGTTGGGAGGGGTTACAAATTCCAATATTATCCTCTGCCCCCACCCTCCCATCCAAGCTTCATTGTGTTGGGGAAGTGGAGAACAAATCCCTGTAAGACTTGAGAGAAAGACGAGTTTGTTACATTTTGATCAACACTGTGAAGTCTATTCAGTGGCAGTTCAGCCAGTATACGGTGCATGACCGAAACTCATTTCACTGAGTTAATTTCATTTCATACGTTATTAAGATGTGTGCATATTAGGTAATAGTTAGCATCTCATTCTGCAAGGAGGCTGATCCTATAGGAAATTGCAGCTTTAAGGGTCTCCAAAAAAAAAAAAAAAATGTGAGTTCACGGAGATAAGAATCTGTAAAATTGATAGATTAAAGCAGCCAACCCAGGACATTTTCAGAATCTCATCTGTAGTAAAACTGAATTTCCATGGAGAGTAAGTCCGTGCTGGAAGTGCCTCTTTGGGCCTGTGTCCTGATTGCAGGATGGGAGGAGCACAAACTTAGTCCTACGCTGCCAGCAGCAGGTGGCAGGGAGACAGGAAGTAGGGTGGCCTGTGTCCAGCAGTGGACTGCCTCTCCTCCATGTTTTTTTTGGGTTTTTTTTTTTTTTTTTTTTTAAAAAAAGGCTTCTAGAAATTGACCTGTGTTCCCCAGGGTGCCTTGTCCAGCCCTTTCCATTACTTTTGTAGCCCTAGAGTTTACGCTGTCCTCCCTACTTTGTTACAAGACAGACTTGGAAGGTTCACAAGTATTTTATTTCTGCTCCCAAAGAAATTGTCCCCTGGCTCTCAGGCCCAAGTTCTCAATAAACATTTTTCAACTCTTACATTCCTAAGCTGGCTTGCCAG